AAACCCGATGACATCCTCTGTTTGATGGCCCATGGAGATGCTTCCTTCTGGCCTAGCACGGTTACGGACATATTTCTTTAGGACTCCCATGAACCTCTCAAAGCGGAACATATTGTCAAGAAATACGGGCCCCAGAATGACAATCTCGTCGACTAGATGAACTAGGACGTGCGTCATGATATTGAAGAAGGATGGTGGGAACACCAGCTCCAAACTGAAAAGACATTGCGCCACATCACTCCTTAGCCTTGATACGATTTCTGGATCGATCATCTTCTGAGAGATTACATTGAGGAATGCACATAGCTTCACAATGGCTAATCGGACGTTTTCCGGTAGAAGCCCCCTCAATGGAACCGGAAGCAGTTGCGTCATAATCACGTGGCAGTCATGAGACTTTAGATTCTGAAACTTTTTCTCTAAGACACAGTACACTGGAGTTTTCACCCGGCTTCACAGCACCCTTACTTTTCCCATAGCCACGACTCAATGGATTACAAAGACGGCTTTGTAGCCTTGGCAACAAACGCAGTGCCCACGCATCCGTCGCGCTGCATGCACGGACATAATCTGCATGCCCACAACGCACATGACCCGGCCGTGGCCACTAATCCCTGCACTACCAAACTGACTTGACCGGCCCATGCAAGTAGCTAGCTTATCCATCCGACGCATGCACTGACGCACGACGCGGACAGCTCCACTCCATCGGCCACACCTAACAGACTGACTACTACCACCAGTACACACTCATGCTACTGCCATGAGCACGCACACACACTACACATGCACGCCACGCTGCTGCGTCCCACACGCCCTGTCCGTCCCACGCGTCACTGACACATCCGACGAACCCGACGAGCCCGACGGCACCAGTGTGTCCCGCCCATCCCGCGCGCACCCGACACGCCTGACGAGCCCGACCACACACGCCGTGGCTTATTCCAACACAAAGCTTTAGATAAAATGAATGAACTCCTATATAAAGAGGAGATGCTATGGTTGCAGCATTCTAGAGTTAACTGGCTAAAAGAAGGGGACCGAAATACGATTCTTTCACAGGAAAGCAGTGTGGCGCGCGAAGAAGAATAAGATTGTGAAGTTGCTAAGGTCCGATGGAAGCTGGGCATCTTCACAAGCCGAGATGGAGGATATGGCCACCCAGTTTTTTCAGGTGTTGTTTTCTCAGGATCCAAACCTAAATTCGGACGACATTGTGAATTTGTTTGAAAAGAAGGTTTCCAAGGACATGAATGTTGCATTGTGTAAGGAGTTTTCTGACAAGGAAATATTAGACACTCTCTTTGAGATTGGCCCCCTAAAGGTCCCTGGTACTGATGGGTTCCCGGCCAGATTTTACCAAAGAAACTGGGGGATCCTAAAGTACGAAACTATTGCAGCGGTCAAAATGTTCTTTGAAACGGGTAACATGCCCGCTAACATAAACCATACTGCTATTGTTCTTATTCCAAAGGTGGATCATCCATCGAATTTGAGGGAGTTCCGGCCTATTAGTCTGTGTATGGTGCTGTACAAGGTTATTGCAAAATGTCTAGCTAACAGATTGAGGCCTATACTCGGTGATATTATCTCAGTGAACCAGAGTGCGTTTGTCCCCTGAAGGCTTATCACCGATAATGCACGTGTGGCCTTTGAGTGCTTTCATTTCGTTGAGCAAAACACAAACCCGGGGAAGGTTTTTTGCGCTTAAAAAATTGATCTGTCAAAGGCATATGATCGAGTGGACTGGGGGTTCCTTGAGAAGGCGATGAAAGGCTTAGGTTTCTCTCACTGATGGATCGGTTGGATCATGTCATGTGTGACCACGGTGAGCTAGTCTGTAAAATTCAATGGAACTTTGCTGGATTCGTTTACCCCTTCCCGTGGTCTCCGCCAGGGCGACCCTTTGTCGCCATTCCTATTCTTGTTTGTCGCAGATGGCTTCTCAGCTTTCCTACAGAAAAGATATTAATGGTAGCCAGATTGTGCCCTTGAAAATTTGTCGTCGAGCCCCGGGTATCTCTCACATGTTATTCGCTGATGATATGTTACTCTTCTTCAAGGCCGAGTCTGAGCAAGCTTTGCGGATTCAGCATGTGATCAATACCTATGCTCAAGGTACAGGCCAATTGGTAAATGTTGATAAATGTTTGTTGATGTTTGGGAAGACCTACCCTAGTGCTATCCAAGAGGAGGTCAAAGCTGTGCTGCAGGTTACACAAGTAGAGTTTGAGACTAAATATTTGGGTCTCCCAACCCCCGAGGGCCGAATGTCACGAGGGAAGTTCCAAACCATCCAGGCTAAGCTCCTAAAAATAATGGTGCAGTGGGGAGAATTTTCCAATGGTGGAAAAGAAATACTCATCAAGGCGGTCGCTCAAGCACTACCGACCTATGTGATGGGAGTATTTAAACTCCCTGCAGGGCTATGTGAAGAACTCATGAAAATGATCAGAGAATTCTGGTGGAGTGCTAGCAAAAATCAGAGGCGTAAACACTGGATCTCATGGGACTGTATGATCCGGCCAAAAGCTTGTGGTGGTATGGGTTTTCGAGATTTACAACTTTTTAATCAAGCTCTGTTATCAAAGCAAGCATGGAGGTTAATAGAGAATCCTGAAAGTTTATGAGCCCAAGTCCTCAGAGCAAAATATTTTCCAAATGGTCTGCTGGTGGACACGGTCTTTACTGGAAATGCGTCCTCAAGTTGGAAGGCAATTGAGTTTGGCCTTGAACTGCTGAAGAAGGGGATCATTTGGCGCATAGGTGATGGCGCAACGGTTCGGATCTGGAGAGACCCCTGGATCCCTCGAGGCCCCTCGTGCCGACCCATTACCCCTAAACGTCGGTGCCGCCTCAAGTGGGTTACAGATCTACTGAACACAGATGGCTCTTGGAATATGGGGTTGTTACAACAACATTTTTATCAAGCCGACATTGATGAGTATTGAAAATTAAGCCTTCTCGGCGGCTGGAATCTGACGTCATGGCTTGGTTTCCAGATAAACGGGGGCTGTTCTCGGTCAAAACTGCTTACTTTCTTAGTTTACAGGAAAAAATGACTGCTAAGGCTGGTCGTAATGGTAGTATCATAGCTAGTATCATGCATGCCAACTAGGCAATTTTGATGAGGTGTCATAGCATTAAATGAAGAAAGAGAGGGTGTAGTATCATATCATGATACTGTATCATATTAAATGCTATGCTACTTTGTGTCATGCATGGCAATAAATAGAGTACTACATAATACTAATATATGATATTATGCATTAGGGAGGTAGTATCATACACTAGTATCATATGCATGATACTAGTATATGATACTCCCCATTACAACCAGCCTAATGATCCAGGAGCGACTAGCTCTCGTCCGGATGGCCGACGACCAGCCTGGGATCTCATATGGAAGAGCCCAGTGCCACCCAAAGTGCGCATCTTTGCGTGGAAAGCTGCATACAAAGCTCTGGCCACTGAAGCAACAATGAAGTCCAAGCACATGCAGAAGGTTCAGGCCTGTACTATATGTGGGAGTGATGTGGAGGATGCTCAAGGCCTGTACTATATGTGGGAGTGATGTGGAGGATGCTCATCATGAGCTAATTAGCTGCTCACATGCTGCAGGCCTATGGAACGCCATGAGGGAGGTTTGGGACATCCCAAACAGTGATGACCTTTAGGACAGGGAGCCGCAGTGGATTTTTCGCCTCTTGAAGAAGTTAACTGAAATTCAACGTACAATGGTTCTGATGACCATGTGGAGGGCGTGGCATGTGCATGATGAAATAACTCACCACAAGCAGGCAATCCCGATTGAGGTCTCACATAGGTTTGTTGCAAGCGATTTAACCTCGCTTCTGATGCTGCAACAGCACCCCGAGGCTGATGACATCAAAGGTAAAAATTTGTTGTCGATTATCTTGGTGAACCTGCCTGCAAGATGAAGCCTACGTTGCCTGTGGAACGGTGGCAGGCACCGGTAGTCGGCTGGGCAAAGCTCAATGTGGATGGGTCGTTCATGGCCACTGACGGTACAGCAGGGGCAGGCATGCTTCTTCGGGATCATAATGGGGCTGTGATGCTCGCTGCTATTAGAGGACTTGTGAACTGCGCTGATGCGCTGGAAGCAAAAGTGGCGGCAATCCATGAAGGTATTATATTGGCCCTTAGCTGGACTGAGGTAGACCTCATAGTGGAGACCGACTGTGCAGAGGCTATGCATTTGATTTCTTCTACAGAACATGATCGCTCAGCGCATAGCCACAGAATAATGGAGATTAGATTGTTGCTGTCTCAAGAAAGGAGGATTCAACTAGTTAAGATCAAGCGTAACATGAACTCTGCTACTAGCCACACTCTCGCGCAAATGGGATGAATATTAACAGCGAACTGCTTGTTGGATGCGAAACCCCCCTGATGAGATTGCGAGCATCATTGCCGCTGATTGTAACTACATTACTTGATGAATGAATTTTCCTTTCCCGCAAAAAAAAGATTGGAAAATACAACAAAATTAAATGGAAGTTTCCTTTGGGGTTGGGGTAGCATGCGAAGAACGAGACATGTGGATCCACCCGCCCTTGGCTAGCGGCCAGGAAGTGGGCTGCGTGGTGGGGGCACGGAACAAGACGCCAGCACAGTCCATGTGGAGTGCAGCTACTGTTGAGAGCAGGTCGAGCAAACTGAAAAATACTAGCTAACTAACCAATTAGCTATGAGCTGCGGCTAAGTTTATTTTAACAATTACGGTGGTGGTCGCGGTGTGGGAGTGCGGTAGGTGGGAGCGAAGACAAACATGGCATCTCTCCTCCCTGCTCCCCATTGCTGCACCATTATTCTTCCTGGTGAGGGGACGGCAACATATTTCCGTCGCCAATAATCGACTACTTGCAGTACTCTACTCTGTCCACTCGAGCACCATTTGGATTTGGGTGTCCGTCGATTCGGCCAACGTCGATTTTTCAGTAGCTTGATTGGCCGTGGGCTTAGCTTGATTTGCCGCCATGAGGGTGAGTTTAGCTGAGCAATCTTGCTGATCCGTAGCAACACTGGTTTGCAGACTATCGATCGGTTAATTTGTTGCTCATCTCGTTTTGTTCTTTCTATGTGGATCGCAGCGGAGGATGGTGATCAAGACGGTGCTGACCGACCTCAGGCAGCAGCGGAAGGTGATCAAAGCCGTTTCCACTCTCTATGGTACTAGTACTACCACTTCCCTTCAGTTTTCTCTCTCAATTTCGAGTCTTGCTCGCGAGTTCGTTTGTGACGCGAACGTCGACGATGAGCCTCAGGTATCGACGCGATTACTGTGGACTTGCGGCTCGGGACGATCACCGTCATCGGCGTCGTCGACCCCGTGCACGTCGTGGGTGAGCTGCGAAGGTTGTTTGGGATTGCTGAGATCATCTTGGTCGGGCCCGCCGAGTATGAGGAGAAGAAGAAGAAGGATGAGGACGAGAAGAAGAAGAAGGAGGCGGAGGAGAAGAAGAAGAAGGAGGTGGAGGCTCCTCGGTATGAGTGGCCAGTCGGGTTCTTGAACAGCATCACAGACAATTTCTCCGAGGAGCGCATCATTCGCCGTGGTCGGCATGGAGTAGTCTACAAGGTACCAAGTATGATTTATCCCGGAAGTGCATAATCGCTCCAAATTTCATTAGTATGTACTCCCTTCATTCCAAAATAAATGACCAGTGGGAGTAGCTGATAACACAAGATCCAATTTCTGCAATACCATCTTTGTGATTAAAGTTCTCAGCAGAGACACCCATATGCTCTGTTGGTGGGGATTCCATGTACAAGCTGTGTGGTCAACTGACCCCACAGCTTTTGGTCAAAACAGCCTAAATTTAGGGTCCCGATAACTGCCACATGTGTGGTGTATCGGGTAGTTGTGCCACACGCCTCGTGTGGCATGGACAGCAACCAGCCCACACACCTACGTGTGGGCAAAACAACTAATGCCCACACATATTTTTTTCCCCTCTTGAACCCTCTCACACGCGTGCGTGTGGGCGAAGTTGATAACGCCCACACGCTCGTATGTCAGGCCTCGTACCCTTCTGGTCCCGCACGTGACGCGTGACGCCTACCGCGCGCCCGCAGTTGCCATGGTCCAGACCCTCGTCCATGTTCGTTTATCTGCAGTTGCCATGTCGCTGAACTACGGTTGCCATGTCGGACAACTGCAGTTGCCATGGTTGCTCAACTGCAGTTGCCATGTATGGTCTGATCTAATGTAGTTGCCATGATTTCATAACTTTAGGAGTTGCCACATACTAACACTAGGCAGTTGAGAGAGTTGCCATGTGCTCACAAGCATGCTAGGGCAGTTGCCACGTAAAAGGAAGAGTTGCCATCTGCTTACGTGCACATTAGGGCAGTTGCCATGTACGTGCACGTTGGGGCAGTTGCCATGTACCATGCAAAAACACATGGCAACTCGGTAAAAGACAGTTGCCATCTGCTTACGTGCACACTAGGCAGTTGCCGTGTACCCTGCAAAAACACATGGCAACTCGGGTAAAAAAAGAGAGTTGTCACCTGCTTATAAAGCACACTAGAGGCAGTTGCCATGTGCGCTGCAAAAACACATGGCAACTAGCAGCTTACGTGTGGGAGAGGAGACGGGCGTGTGGACGAGATGGCAAATGCCCACACACCAGCCCTTGTGCGTGACTGAAAACTGGTATGTGGGTGAACTGCTAAACGCCCACACACCGGCCCCTTCGTGTGGTAAAACGGATGTGCGGGCGAACTATGTCACACACCACACACACGCCTTGTCCTACGTGGCACAGAAAATCAGCCAGATTGTGTCAAAATTCGTGCATATAGTACTGGACGGTGATGGATGCGTGTGATCGAGATGGTCAACGCCCACACTTGTGGGCGTTAACATTTCTATAAATTTACTCCACGATTACTGTACACTATGAAGAAAATAATCCTTAAAAGTAACACTGACCCCACAGATTCTTCTGGCTGGCTTCGCCACTTACTACTACTGTGTCCCACACATAGAAAAGCTTATAAAGGCTGCAACAGCTCCGGAACAGTTAGCAATGGTGACTTAATACATAGTATATTTTAACAGGGAGTGCAGGACAATGGGGTATGCATTGCTGTGAAGAAGCTTCATCTCATGCCGGGAATTGACAACGAGGAATTCATAAATGAGTTTCATAATGTTGTGAGGGCCCGACATCAAAATACCATACTATTACTTGGTTACTGCCATCATACAGCACAAGTTCTTGTTGAGCACAATGGAAAACATGTTTCAGCTATAGTGGAAGAAAGATCTTTATGCTCTGAATACTTGCAAGGAGGAAGCCTTGACAACCATCTTTCTAGTATGATTATGTTCTACTTACTTGCACTATTATTTTTGCATGGAAGAACAATGATCCCTAAACTTTACTTTTTGGTAATAAATGTTTTTTACTTCTATAGATGAACCATGTGCACTTGCTTGGCACACATGTTACAAAATAATTAGAGGGATATGTGAGGGTTTACATTACCTTCACAAAGGAGTTGAGTATCCTATTTACCATCTGGAATTAAAACCTACAAAGATTTTTCTGGATAACTACATGATGCCCAAAATTGGAGGTTTTGGCTTCTCTAGACTCTTTGATACAACGGAAACCTTCAATACATCAGAAGTTGCGCGAACAAGGTACGTTAATAAACATGAGAAGTAATCGGATTCTTGTATGAAGCTAAAATAAAATCTTTTTGTACTATTCAGTGTATACATGCCACCAGAATACATCAGCAAACGGCAAATCACACCAAAATTTGATGTATTCAGTCTGGGCATTATAATCTTGCAAATAATGGCAGGAAAGGAGAGCTACACCAAATATGCAGATATTCCTCCCAAAGAATTTATTGAACATGTATGAAAATACTCTATTTTATGAAACGTAACATTCTTTTACAAATATTAGGTTGTGCATTACATCTAGGCATGCATGCTAAGGAATTGTTTCAATTCTGCAGGTATATGGATTATGGGTAAATAGGATGCAGGGCACAATATCGAAGGATACTTCATGTGAAGTTAGAACATGCATCGAAATAGCTCTAAAATGTGTGGAGTCCAGTCAAGTGAAGAGGCCTACTATAAAGCAGATCATACAAAGACTGAACAAGATTGATATTGTTGAGTGCTCATCTATAGGTGAACTATATAGGACAAGGGAGTTTGCATTTGAGTTCTTAGAACGTATTACAAATGACTTTTCTGACCAGAACAAAGTTGGCAGTGGTGGATATGGAGATATTTATAAGGTATGGTATTACTCCCTCCATTTTTACTTATACAAGGCCACTATGGAAAATACACTTTGCATCTATATAAGGCCACCAACAATAATCGAGACAATAGTTCATGATATCTCCTTGTACTAGTAACCTGTTTAATAATTGCATGCTTGCAGTCATAATGACATTCCACTCTGCTTGCTATCCCGTCCTTGCATGCATGCGATGTATTAATGATCCCAATAAATGAAAAGAAAAGTTGGTTTACAAAGCAAGGCATTAACTTTTACCTTGGTACCTGTAATATGAGTTTGTGGCCTTGTATATAAAAATGGAGTAAGTACTTCATCTTCTGAATTTCACATGAAACTACTGTTAACTACAAGAACAATGTGTGATAAAAACAGAAAATTTCAACAGGGGGTGCTAGACAATGGAGAAGAGATTGCTGTTAAGAAACTTCATCATCGTCAAATGTTGTTCATTACTGACAAGCAATTTAAGAATGAGGTTATTAATCTAATGAGGGTCGAACATGAAAATATCGTACGGTTAGTTGGCTACTGCCACCATACATCACAAATATTTGTTGAGTACGAAGGAAAACATGTATCTGCTAGTGTGCTAGAAAGAGCAATTTGTTTCGAATACATGCAAGGTGGAAGCCTTGACGATCAACTTTCAGGTATGATTCTGCTCTACTTGCACTAAATTATACATGCAAGGTGGAAGCCTCTCTTACATTTGTTTACAGAGGGAATATTTGAATTTCCTACAGCATGATCAACTACATAAGGGGGGAAACATGGTCTATTTACTCACCCTTGGATCCATACACATGATTCATGCTTCGGCTAGGTGTTGAATAGCAACCAACAAGAAAGGAGATAGTTCCCGCGAAAAAAAACCAAGAAAGGAGATAGATGTTAGGGTTGGGGGAGATAATGGAACTTTTCTTTTTGCAGCATCTAGGAGGGAAATCGGGCGGTACGGTCGACTATTGTGTAGAGAAAATATACTTTATAAATACTAACATACTTTTTTATTTACTTATACAGCTGAATCCTGCAAACTTGATTGGGACAAATGTTACAAAATAATAAAAGGAATATGTGAGGGTTTACATTACCTTCATAATTCCGTTAATCCCATTTACCATCTGGACTTAAAACCAGCAAATATTTTGTTGGATAAGGATATGGTGGCAAAAATTGGTGATTTTGGCTTGTCAAGACTCTTTGATTCAGCGCAAACCTATATCACAGCATCCCGAGATCTTAAAGGAACATTGTAAGTTAATAATCCAGAATAATTAATTGACATCTTTTCTCAAACTTTCAGAAAAATAATTGTATTCGATGAAATGCAGTGGATACATGCCGCCAGAATACATCAACGGACAAATAATCAGTCCGAAGTTTGATGTATTTAGTCTCGGGGTCATAATCATACAAGTAATGGCAGGAAAGGAGGGCTACTTCAATTGTCAAGACACCCATCCGAAAGATTTTATTGATCATGTAAGGACAAGGATCCAGTATTACAGAAAACATTTTTTCACAAGTATTTTATTGTGCCTTAACCCCCTCCCCCCGTTGTTCCTGCATGCTTTTTTGGCATTATGTTTCAATTATGTAGGTGCTTGAAAAATGGCGAGTGAGGCAGCAGGCAACAATGTCGTCCCATGTATCTGAAGAAGTGAGGACATGCATTGAAATAGCATTAAAATGTGTGGAGCATGACAGAAATCAAAGGCCTAAGATAGCCCAGATTGTTAATGAATTAAGTAACATTGGTATTGCTAAGAGTTCACCAGTAGGTCAGGTATATATCCTTTTCTCCTGTGGATCAATCTGGTTTTCATCATAACTAGCCTTTTTTGGCATTATGTTTCAATTAACCGGGTATGTGAAAACTGGTGAATGAAGGTGCAGACAACAATATCGCCCCATGTATCTGAAGAAGTGAGGACATGCATCGAAATAGTGTTAAAATGTGTGGAGGATGACAGAATGCGAAGGCCTACAATAGCACAGATTGTTAATGAACTAAGTAAGATTGGTATTGCTAAAGGTTCACCCATCAGCCAGGTACATATTCTCTGCTCCCGTGGATCATCTCTTTTTCCTCATGACTGGCCTAATGCCTTTCATCGTCCTACTTTAATTCATATGTTCCCTGCCCTAACCTGAAATTCTAAACACGTTCTCTCCCAGATTTCCCAAGCTACATTTTCCAGCCCACAGCAGGTGGCACAGCCGGAACAAGGAGGAAGCCATGTAAATTACTTGCACTGAATTAGAAACATTTTTATTAGCAAATCTCTACCTCTCTACCTATATAATTAATTTTGCAATATAAAGCACGCATTGCTTCTGGTCGTCCGTCATCAAATTACCCTCGAAGTTGATAAGAATTACCCACCAATGCCACCCGTAAGTTGCAAATACGACTTGTGTGCAGGTGGCCTGTTTTTTAAATTTTGTTTTCTTTTCCGATTTTTTTCTAATTTAAATAATTTTGGACTTTAAAAACTTCTGAAATTTTTAAAAACTGAGAACTTTGAAATAAAATTTTCAAGAAAGCATGAAATATTAGTGAATTAAAAAAATGCTCAGAATTTTTTTAAAAATGTTAGCATATTAAAAAAATCGCAATTTTGAAAAAAAATGTTCGGAAAATAAAAAAACCAATGATTTTGAAAAGTCTGTGTATTAAAGTTTTTTAATAAAATTGAGCAAAATGTTTGCTAATTCAAAAATGTGCATGAATTTTAAAAATGTCCTAAAAATTAAAAACAGTTCATGAATTGCTAAAGAGTTTCTTGATTCATAAAATGTTCATGCATTTCAAAAAATGTTTGTGAATTTTAAAAAATATCCACCAATTTAGAAAAGAAAGTTCGTCTATTCTAAAATTGTTCTCCAATTCAAAAGGAAATGTTCCCAAATTTGTAAAAATGTTCACCAATGATCGAAGGTACGTAGTTAAACAGTAATGTTTCTGAGTCTTTATGACTATATACCTGTGTGAATTTTCAATAATTAACTGCCGGGATAGATCGGAATATTATAGTATGATTTAAAAAAATTCTTCAAATTTAGAATAATTCTTTGAATTACCAAGTTTTTTTACAACCATAATTTTTTTTTCAAAAATGTGAACATTGCTTCAATCTGTAAATAAGTTTAAAAATGGTACATTTTCTTGCATTTGTGAATAAATTTTCAAAATCATGCGATGAGATGTGAACAAAATGTTGTCATAGTTATTGAAGATTATGACTTATTTTTTCTCCCGTTGCAACGCACGGGCCCTTTTGCTAGTATAATATAATTTCTGAATGATAATAGAGACCGTATATTGGAGTTGCACCCACTAAGAATTTATCCCGCGATTGCTTTCCTACCATAAAAGCCAGTTGCCGATCATATCATCAATACTAGTAGGGACCGCTAAATGCACACCGATTATTTTTCACATACTAAATAACAAACACCAGGAATTGAACCTTCATTCTGAGGGACTGTTGGAGAAAAGACCAATTCACCTTGTCATAGACTTTTTTTTCCGACCAAGACCAATTCACCTTGTCATAAACTTTTGAGTGTCTGTTTTAAAAATAACACCGTTCAATGTTTTAGAATGAAGCTCGTGGACTGTCTCATTTAGTAAACATACCTAAGAAACATAAGGTGTGTATGTGTGTGTGTGTACCTGATTTAACAGTTCCATTCTGGATGTAGGAGGCAAACAAGCTGACTAGAACGCCATTGGGAGAAACGTCAAGATCAGGCCCTGGCCAAGCGTGCAGAAAGCTTAATTTGTGGAAGTGGAACGTAAAACTGAATCTGAAGAGGAAAGTAAAACTGAAGCTGAAGAGGAACGAAAGCTGAATTGGCACAAATACTCAACACAACTGTAAGTGTGTTCATGTCCGGTATGCAACTATGTATAGCTTTTCCCTCTTCTGTATAGGCATCCGGGTGGATCGTTTGAATCAAAGCTAGTATTGCTGAGTATTTGTGGTGTTCGGCTCATCAGGCTTGTAGGATCGTAACAGGTTGCTTTGAGGACATTTTCATTGTCCACTCACTCCAAACACTGGTTGTTCCTCTTAGCCGCGGTGACCGCCATATTTTTCACACGGCCTCAATATTGCCCACGTATCGACGCATCGTAGCCAAACGGGATTGCTTGCATCAACACACGAGTTTGTTGGCTTCAATTAATGTGCACAAATATTCAAATTCTGTAGATTCATGGTGCCTAGGTATTACAAGGAGAACATGCACATCAGCCCTTGAAGTACGTACTCAATGCCTTCATCTAAGGCACTCCCAAAAGGGGACAGCAGAGATAATATTTTTCTGCACAAGCGGTGTTGGTGATTCTCATGTTAGTTTCAGCTGTCAAAGCAAGGACATGGCCATCTTAAGAACCAGTAGAGTGCTAGGGCAATCCATATGTTTTGACAAGTTCATGTGCCATACATAGTATGCTGGTTGGCATTAAGAGCATCTCCAACAGCCACCCAACGCGCCGCGCGCTAAAAACTACTTTGCCGCGCGTCCTTCACCTGGTTTTGCGCGGCCGGCAGCGCTGGCTCCAATAGCCGCGCTAAAATGCAGGCGCGCGCGCCGCTCCAGCAGCGCACGTGACTCGCTGGGGCATTGCCATATATTGCATTTTGGACACAAAATGGATTCCAAACAATCAAAATGCAATGAACATGGCATATAAATTTCACAGAAACAAGTTGATGAATAAAAGTTCATGCCCACAAGTTCAAAATCATGCCCACAAGTTCATCCAACCAAGTTCAAAATGCAAACCAAGTTCATGACACAAACGAAAGACACATCAAGCCTCGTCCTCGTCCTCGTCCTCATCTTCGGAAGACGATTCTTCCTCCTCCGAAGATGATTCTTCCTCCTCCTCATCATCATTGTCGCGCACCGCATCACGTGAAGCTCGGACGGTGTTGGCAAGATCTTCAACGGCATCTTCATGGGAAGGTGTGTGAGGCACACCGGAAGAGATTCCACCCATGGTGGCCGGAGGTGCACCCATGCCTCCCATGAGAGAAGCAAAACTCATGCCTCCCATGGCGGCCATGGCGCCGGGGGGTGCTCCAAAGCCACCCATGCCTCCCATGGTTTCCATGGTAGCTCCAAAGCCACCCATGGCACCTAAGCCGCCCACGGTACCTCCGAAGCCACCCATGCCTCCCATGGCACCAAGGCCACCGCCACCCATTGCGCCAAGGCCACCGCCACCCATTGCTCGAATCATGGCTCTTTTTTGGATCAAGACTTCTTCACGGGCAAGATTGACATACTCCTTTTGCGCCTCATTAGGGATAGATGTGTCCAAGAAGAACAAGTGCTTCTCCCATTCCAACAATCTAGTTCACTCCTCATTGCTCACCTTCCTCTCCTCGGCCGCCACCCTCCTCTCCTCGGCCGCCAACCTCCTCTCCTCGGCCGCCAACCTCCTCTCCTCGGCCGCGGCATCTTGGTTCCTGGCCATTTTCCTCACCTCGTTGGCTTCTTTTCTTGCCTTCACAATAGCTTCCATAGCATTTTTGAGCTCATCATCCACTTTCCTCTTCTTCTTTTCGGCGGAGCTTCGGCGGAGGCGGGGCCAACGCTCCCCGCGTGAGGCCGATGCTCGGAGGAGCTCTGGCGGAGGCGAGGCCAACGCTCCCTGCGCTAGGGTTTGCGGCGGCGGCGGCGCCGGTGGAGGGGGCGCGGCTGTAGGATGGGGTGAGCGGGGTGCCGGCGCGTGCGTTCATCGGGTCCAGTTCGCCGGCGCCGGCGCGCGCGGGGCGAAGGTGGCGAGGAGGAGAGAGTGCGGCGTGAGCGCTCGTGTGTGCCGCGCGCGGAAGCGGGCGTCCCAAATACACAGTGCGAGTTGGCGATTCGGACCGCGCGCCCAACTCCATATGCCGCGTGCGCGGTTATTGGGCGCCCGCTGAAGCCACTCTACCAGTTGCGCGTGCGCTAAAATGGCCAAATTTACGGCGCGACGCTTGTTTAGCGCAGCTGTTGGAGATGCTCTAACTTTGAGTGTAGAGAAGTATTTTTCTGCAAAGTTATAGGAGAAAACAAAGTACCACCTGTGCAAAAAATGTGGATTGACTATTGCAGGAAGCTGCCTGCAAAAAAAAAGACTATTGCAGGAAGGACCGTCAAACCAAAGGCTTAAATGACCGACAAAGAAAAATAAAATCCTAAGCTAGTAATCTATACAGGGGAACATTGTTAACTGTTAAGCCCTGTGGATTAGGGGAAGAGATTCATGGGAATTTGGCACACTTTGGGGATTTTTTGTGATGGAGGAATGATTCCCGTTGTCTGCTTATTTCTTTCCTGTAATGCTTATCTGTAATATAAAGTGTGTAACGGGGCTGCTGATCTGATTTTATAGAGCAGGGCCAATGTGCCTGTGGTCGATGTGCGCACAATGTTCTGCGATCTGTGTTCTAGACAGCGGGTTATGGGCGATATCGTGGGAAAATGACGGTGCTGCGCCGGCAATGGCTAATCCCTTCTTTGGATACCCAGAGTCTTGACGAGGTGAGTAGCTACTGGACATGGCAAACCCCACTGAAAGGGGAGCTCGAAATCACTGGTGTTTGTATGCTCTGTTCTTAGCCATGCTGCCTGAGAGGTGTTTGCTTAATTGTCTTGCTGTCGTGTCCACTTGAGAATTGAGTCCTCTTGTTGTGTCCAGATATCGTAAGATCAAGAGAGACTCCCAGAGGACTATCATTTAGTACCAGATCTGGATTTGGAGGTGCAGGAAAAGGTGATGGTGGACTTGGTGACGCTCAGGGGCGAGGAAGCAGGTGGAAAATGTTGAACCTCATGTATTATACGCACTTGTACCGTAGGGTAGTAGTAGCAGACGTGGGTGCAGTTTTGTTAGTCAAAGCGCACACGATCGCCTCCTCTCGAACGCGGCCTGGCCACGATCACCATCGTGCGCCCACGCCCGCTGTTCCCCTCTGTATAAGTGTCCTACTGATGCAATGCGATCGCTGTGTTCGATCCTCTTCCTTCTCTCTCTCGTCAACATGGTATCAGACGCCGAAGAAGCCAATCCCTTCGCGCCCAACCACCCTCCCTCTTCCGCTGCCATGGACACCAATCCCCTCACCTCTCCCCACTCCTCTGACGATGATGCGCCGCACACCGCCGGCGTTCTCCACACTGCCCTCGCTGACGCTGCGGCCGCGGCTCCGGTCGTTGCCCCGCCTTCGCTGGCCCCTGGCGCATTTCCATCCTCGGTGCTGCAGACGATCGATATTCGTCATCACGTCCCCATCACCCTGGACCTGCACGCCGGCAACTACGGCCAGTGGCGGCGCTTCTTCTTCACCATCGTCGGCATGTTTGGCATTGGCGACCACCTCGTCGCCCCAACCGCTCCTCGCCGTCGCGATCCCGAGTGGGTCATGGTCGACCACTGCGTCGTCCACTGGCTCTTCTTCCGTGTTCTGCATGTCCCCACGCGACTCGACTAAGTCGCTGCAATGGGTGGAGGAGAAGAGCGTTGTGTTCATAAAAGGTTGTGGCTAAGTCTTAGTCGACTAAGACTTAGCATGGTTCTGCGTGATTGTCTTGGAAAAAATATTTCTCTTCTCGCAGGGTGCTCTTCTCCTGCCGAGATACACTTGAGGCCGAACTATGTGCTTGCATGGAGGGTATTTCTCTTGCTATCCAGCGATTGGAGCTGCCAATTTGTGTGGAAATGGATTCCGTAGTGGCGGTGAATATGGTTAAGGACAAAGACACGGACAGGTCTATATTTGCCTCCTTGGTGAATGGGATTAAACACTTGATGTCCCTTCATGCAACTAGTTTATTTCATATAAATCGTAATCAAAATGTGGTTAGCGATTATTTAGCTAAATTTGCAAGAATTGAAGGTAGAACAGTAGTTTGGTTGGGCTCTGGTCCCTCACAGGTTGTGGACTTGTGTAAAGTGAATTGTAATTCGCTGGATCCTTGATTAATACACGTCTTATTCGCAAAAAAAAAACTACCAAGTCTTAGTCAAATGATATACTATACAAGAAGAAAATGAAAAAAACTGAAAATAAATTTTTTATACAAATCTCCATGCAACATCAAAGGCGCATAGCATCGACTGGGACATAACGAAGTCGACTTAGCAAAATTGTTCATAAAAATACGTTTGTGGAGGAACCAGTGGCGGCGGACTTGCTGACGTCAGAGGAGATGGCGGAGGAAGCGACGAAGTGGTGAGACATGGCTGTTGGCAACAGGTGGAGGAGATGAGCGTCGTGTTCATAAAAAAATGCAGTGTAGTCCCTCCGTTTCTAAATATAAGTCTTTTTAGACATTTCAAATGGACTACAACATACGGATGTATGTAGACATATTTTAAAGTGTAGATTCACTCATTTTGATTTGTATATAGTCACTTATTGGAATCTCTTGAAAGACTTATATTTAGGAACGGAGGGAGTAGAACGGATCGATGTCCTGTGAATCACGATACGGCCACTTGTCAGACTGGATCAGCACATCAAGCAACCCACGCACATCCAGGTTGCTGGTGCACCACTATACATAGTGGCGGAGGTAGAGGGTGGACAGGGTGGACCACGACCCACCCTAACATTGGAAAATGGGCTTTATACTATAGGGAAAAAACTAAAAATTAAAAGGAAAATGAAAATTATATGCACAAATGCACTGTTGGCCCACCCTGCCCTAGTGGGCTAGTTCCGCCACTGACTATACACGTGGGTCCGGGTCTGTATAGCCAGCTATTAGCGAGTGCGGACTTTTGGTGCTCGGCCATCATGCTGGATGATATTTTTAAAAAAAATCAAAAAGCCTATTTAAAAGTTTAAAAAAAA